ACAGACTTGTAAGTTAAACTTAGAAAGAGGTCTTTACCCTCCAAATACACAGCACCTATCTACCTCTAAAGTACTATTTTTTGAAGTAGGTAATACTAGCTCCAACTTAACAGATGAGGAAAGAGAGCTTAGGATTCATTAAGAATGTTGACCAAGATTACAAGGGTAGTAAGTGGCAGGGCTAGGATTCAAACTTCAGGCAGTCCAACTCCAGACCCAATGTTCTTTCTAGTATGCTGATTATAGTAAGGTTGAGATGAGAATATGGGAGAGATTCTAAGCTTTACTAGACAACTATGTACCACATGACTTTGTACCCTGGCCACAGCCAATGTTGCCAGAACGGGTCCCTCACTCAATTCATCCATTCCTCAGGTTCAGAATTGGGACCAAAGAGTCAAGCCTCCCTGAGTGCCTGTATTTAATAAGAGTATGCCAGGAAAGAAACGACATGGGCATCCTCAGCCTACCCTAGGGAGCACAAAATCGGAGAAGCTGGTCTGCAGAAATAATAGCATGGAGGTGCAGAGAGAAGTTGGCAGAACTGGATAACTTCCAGTCCTTCATTCCAAACCTCTCTTGTTTGGAAAAGGCCCTCTGTTTCCATAGACTCCTTGATTCCTTTGTAGTAAATGCCCCATTTTTGCTTAAGCCAGCTCACAACTGGGTCCAAGTACAAATGGAAGGACTTGACCGGGGAAAAAAATAAAATTTTTAAAAAATTGATTCCAGAGAGAGGAAGGGAGAGGGACAGAGAGATAGAAACATCAATGAGAGAGAATCGTCGATCACCAGCCTCCTGCACACACCCTACTGGGGATGGAGCCCGCAACCTGGGCATGTGCCCTGTCTAGGAATCAAACCATGACCTCCTGGTTCATGGGCAGATGCTCAACCACTAAGCCACATCAGCTGGGCAAGAAACGTACTTCCATAAAAATACATTAAAAATTAAGCAGTCAACACATGCCTAGGATCAGAAAGGAAGTCCGTTCTAAGATTCTAGCCTCAGGGGACTTTCTCAACCATTCATCCCTTTCATTCCCCAACTGTCATCCAAATTGCAACAGCTTATTAAGAGCACAGTATGTTCTCCCAGCCCAATTCTTTTCGTTAACCAGTCCCTCAACTGGGAATACTCTCTCAACCATCTCTCCATCTCCACACATCCAAATCCTCCCTATTCAAAGTCCAGCTCAAATCCAAAATGTTCCACACTTACACATTCCATTCTGGCACTATACACTCCCCCAGACCTTTCTACATCTCTCCTGCCACTTATGTGTACATTATGTAACTGCCCAATTTGCCCTTCATTAGCCATAACAACTCTTTGAGGTGTGACTTGAATCTGACTCCACCTGACTCCCTCCATCCATCTCTAGAGTTCCCGGGTTGAGAAACAGTGACATAAATTTCTTGGTATCCCAGCATTTAACTCAGTGTCTTGCAGAGAGTAGTTGCTCAAATACCTGTTGAATACATGAAATCTTACTTCCTCTGCATTAGAAAAGCTACTTAGAAGTTTATACAGGCATAAAGAAAAAAAAAAGAAGTTTATACAGTTAACATCTACAGCAAGGCAACTGGACGAAAAGGGGCCACATACTAAACCTGACAAGCTCAGGGAAGGCTGTATGGCGGACTTACAAACTCAGAGACCTAAAATAACTTAGCATGGTCTGAAATTAAAACTTAACTTAAAGCAATTTATGGTGGGTATTTAATGTCCTAGGCTAGAATCTTCCCTGGCAAAGGTCAACTTTCACCTTAATTAAGCCCGTTTATTGTCTTTTTGCCCACAACACTAGAGGCCGGTGCACTGATTAGTGCACATTGAAAGTAATTAATTAGAAGGTGGCCGGTGGGGCAGGACTGGGCGAATCACCAATGAATTTCATGTAACCCATTAACATCTTCTAATTGTAATATATAAAATAAGATGCAAAACTGCCATTTTCTGGAGCATTTTCTCAATCTGTTGAGATTTTCTTCCTGGCAAGTGTCGTCAGTTTAGCTCAAACTCACAAAAATTCTCTACTGGTTTGAATATTTCTTACATTGACATAATTTATAATACCTGACATCAAAACCTCTTAGAAAAGGGATTGTATGTTTTTTATTCCTATGACAAGTGCTTACGATTCTTTTTATAGAAAGAAGATGAAGGGAAGGAGAAACAGGATAATGAGAAAAATTCCAGAAGGTCCAATTGTGGCAGAACTGTTCTGCTCCAAATCAGGAAAGGTGCGATAGTTACTGCACAGAGGAGATAAGAAAAGAAAAGGAGATGGAGGGAAGACGGATCAGTGAACGGGAGGAAAATCAAGGCTCCACAGCAAGGCCTTGCCCCATGACTCACCACATCTCTGAGAGTTAACTAAATTCCTGAAATGCTTGGAAAAGGTGATCGTGTGTGCATACCAGTGAGACAGGGAGTTTCCTGTCCAAGCTGACCTGGGTGGATCCAAAACACCATTTTTAGAAGGAAGCCCAGAAGGTAAGAAAAGCATAAAGTAAAGTAAATTATAGGAAATTCATAAAAATTAGATGTGATGGAAGAAGGATAAATACCTCTGAATTTTGACAATATTCTGCAATTATGAGTTTGAGGCTGAAACTATGAAGAATAAGGAAGTTCTAGCTGGCATCTAGGTTTTGTATGTAATACCCAAACTTTACTGGTAAATAAATCCTGTGAATTATAAACCTAACTAGGTACTAACTGAAAAAGTTAAAATCCACATATCTATTGATTCCTCTACCATTTCAATTTACTAAATGCCACTCTAATAGTTAGAAAAATCCAAATGAGGTCAACAGGATACTTCTTGAGGAATTAATGCTTAGAATTGTAATCTCTACTCCTTAGTTTTGTTGTTGTTTTTTAAGATTTTTGTTGTTGTTGTTTTTAATCCTCACCAGGAATATATTTTTATTGATTTTAGAGAGAGAAACATCAATGTGAGAAACATCAATCGGTTGCCTCCTTTACACACCCCAACCAGAAATTAAACCCACAATCTGGGTATGTGCCCTGAAACCACTACCCCTTTTGGTGGTATACAGTAGGCATGCAACTGAGCCATACCAGCCAGGGCTACTCCTTCCTTCTTAAATACAGGATTGCTCCCTCCCCCACCTTTTTAAAAGGAACTCCATAAATGCAAATGAACTTATAAAGGGGAATGTCAGGAAGTCTAGCACCAACAAATATATTAAGTCAGAGGTGGGGAGAGGATCCATTCCAAGAAAGAGACAACCCATCACAGTTTCTGCGGGAGTTGCCTCATTCTAGCCAGGGCAGTCCAAGGGGGTGGCAAATAACCCTCGCAGGCAATGAAGTCCTGAGCAAGAGATTCCTAACACAGTCCCTGCTGGCACCCATCATCCAGAAATATGGCAATCGACAGGCCATCTTCCTGTGCCCAGGCAGATATTCCCTGGGCCCAGGCAGATACTCCAATATGAACCCCTGCATCAGGATACACTAGTGACTATTCTAAGCAAGGAAGGGAAGCCTTGCTTCTCCTGCCACTTCAGAAATCCTAACCATCTACATATGATGTCAGGCTACTTTAAGCCTCCTCCCAACCAACCCAGCATAGCCCACAGCAAGGCCACTCCTCCCAGCTCACACACCCCATCCTATACTGTCCCCTCCTCCCCTAACACACACACACAGAGGAAGGGAAGAAGTCATAGGGCTAGCTAGGCAGGGTTGGGCCAAGTGAGGAGACAGCAGCCCACATCTGTATCCTAAGTTTAATGAATAAGTGCCAGACCCCAGATGCACTGAGGTCCACAAACATTCCCACCTCCCAAGGAGGCCCTTTCCCTCAGAGACAGTAGCTGGCAGATACCCAGTTAGAAATCAGTGTTAGTAAACTGATGAGCAGAGAGATTAGCTATGAAAGCTGGCTCAGAGGAGGTAATATATACTATGCAAGAGTTCAGACTGCATAAAAGTCAAATATGATAGTTAAGATCCAGCTAATTACTTAGGACAGTGCTCATTTTGATGTGTAAACTCTAGAATGTTCTTTTAAGAAAGAAAGAATCTAAGAGCGAATAAACAATGTCCTCCTCATTTATCTTCTAAACAATTCAATTCTAAACAATTCCTTCAACAGCCCAATTTTCCATTTTTCTGTGATGGAATGAAGATATGTAAAATAACAAAAGTTGTTCCAATGCTGAACTTTGGTTTATAAAATATTCCATTCATTGCATCCCTCAAAATTCTACCTAAATGAATTAAGGCATCATACATCACCATCAGCAATATACATACTGAAAAACAGAATGTACTGGAGGAGGAGGAACCCAATAGTTAAATTAAAAGATAGCAACAAAATGCACCTTTGGATTGAAGCTACAAAATCCCAGACACTCATAGTATATTCAGCCCATGACATCTGAGAATTACAATCTGAACTTACAGAGTTTCAATCAAAGGACCATCCAATATCATCCAAGAGTGAAACTAATACCATACTCTTGTTCAGTCTCAGGATGAAGTAGAATCAAGTGGCTTTTCCATCACAGTGCATGTCAAAATGGCACAATTAGCACTATCCAATTACCAGAATAATACCTCTGTCAATACCTCAGTCAATACCTCTTTTCGCAAACAAAACAATTAATTCCATGATGACATTCCTGGAGCAAGTAAAATCATTTTTTGTGGTTGTGGCAGACAATGCTACTTGCAAACTTAACACTCAGTCTTTTCCTTGTGCACGCTCCTAAGTAACATCTTGAAGTTTTATCTTTTTCTCTTTCTTGCTAACTTTTCGAACTTATGTTTACGTGAAAGCAGAGAATAGAACTTCAGGTCCTCAGAAACTAACATGAACTAAACTGATTCTCTCAGGATAGCTAGAAAAGGAGAAAAGCCCATGAAGACCTAGAAGGGTAACTGTTGCTTGATAACCAATGCATTTTTAAATTCTGCTACAAAAAAAGTGCATACATCCTAAAGAACTAAATCTACTAACCTCTACAATCAATGTGATACATGGTTTATCCAGTCTTGACAAAAATCCTCTGGATCACCAAGGGTATGTTCATCCACTCGTACATATGCAATTGTATAAAGAATCTATTATTTAGAACACCAGAAAAAAAAACAATTAAAAGATTTATACTCACAGCTACCATTTTTTTTTATTATTTTGATTTTTATTTATCGATTTTAAAGAGAGAAGAAAGGAGAGAGGGAGGGAGGGAGGGAGGGAAAGAGAAACATGGATTTGTTGTTCCACTTATTTATGCATTCATTGGTTGATTCTTATATGTGCCCTAACCTGGCATAGAACCGGCAACCTTGGCATATCAGGATGATGCTCTAACCAACTGAGCTACCCAACCAGGACATAGATACCATTCTTTTTTTAAAAGTACTTTTCATTTCTATGCTAAGATCCCCTAACTGATGCCCCATAGTGATTACCAAATTGGAGAAAGAATAAGAAATATACTCTATAAATAAAATTTACTATGTAGGATATGCTAATAATTTAAAAATACACTGGTAATTATTGACTGAAGACTAAAAACTCTAATATCAATGCGACATATATTTTATCATATATGTGCATATGTGTATATTATAAACATACAAAACCTTGCATTAAAATTAAAAGTATCTGAAATATACAATAATTTTGTAAGAAAAATATTAGTATGTAGGCACACATGTTAGTAGCACATTTTAACTGAGAATGTAACAGTCATAACTCTGGGAACCTTTGCCCTCTCTCAGCACTCCTAATCCCCTTCCTTGGTTCTTCTTTGTCTTTTTCTCACCCCTACATATACATAGCCCCCAGACAGCTAGCTGTCCTTTGGACAATCTGTCCTTTCCCATGACTCCACCATCATCCCTACTCTTCCCCAAGCTTCAAAACTAAAGTTCTCACACATTTACAATCCACTTGCCTAGCACTGTGCCAAGTTCTTAGCATGCATTCTCTTACCATTCTTATAACAACCTGTAAAATAGGTTTTGTTATTTTCCCATTTTACAGATGAGGAAACCAAGACCCAGAAGTTAAGTACCTTATTTAGGATATTAACTACAAAGTGGCAGAGCCAGGTTTCAAAGCCAGCTCTGACTTCAATGCCCGACAGTTTTAGCCTCTATCCAAAACAGTCTCCCTAAACAACTCAACATGGGTGCCTCAATTATTCAATCATTAATTTAACAAATAATTCATTTGTTGGACACAAACCTGTTCTATTTTCTACTCCCACCTCCCTACATCTGTCTAGAGCAGCCGTGGGCAAACTACAGCCTGTGGGCCGGATCCAGCCCATTTGAAATGAATAAAACTAAAAAAAAAAAAAAAAAAAAAAGACCGTACCCTTTTATGTAATGATGTTTGCTTTGAATTTATATTAGTTCACACAAACACTCCATCCATGCTTTTGTTCCGGCCCTCCGGTCCAGTTTAAGAACCCATTGTGGCCCTCGAGTCAAAAAGTTTGCCCACCCCTGGTCTAGAGACTACACTCTCCCCGTCCCTCTCACCTCTCAGGTAGATTCTTGGAATTATCTCTAACTCCTTCCTCTCCTGAATAACCCTCATCTACTTAGCCAGTAATTTCTGCCTATTTTAGAGATTCTAGATTATATTACCTCCTTGCCAATTCAAACCATAAATTTCTTTTCCCTGGCCACTGTGATACCCTCCTAATTAATTAGTCTTTGCTGCTCCTGTTCGCTGGATCTTTGTAATCAATGTTACACCACTGCCACCTGTTATCCTTATAAAACAAATCTACTCATGTTACAACCCCTGCTTAAAAGCCTTTGATGGTTCTCTACTGTCTACAGAACAAAGTCCAAACTAGTTGGGTTGGCATTCCTATATGAACTGGCCTCAACCTATCTTCCCAGCTTCATCTCCTACTGTTCCCCCCTAAAAATAGCAATAATTTATACAGAGCTTAATTGTTTATGCAGTGCATTTTGACATACATTAATCCTAACAGCACTATGAGACTAGTATTTCTTATTATCCCAATTTTATGATAAAGAAACTGAGACTTACAAAGGTAAGATAATTTGCCCAACATCCCAAATTGTAAAAGGCAGAAAGGGCCAAGTCTTAAACTCCAAATCATATCTCCTTCCCCTTCATGTAGCCATAGCACCCCCATTCCAGTATATCAGACTTACTCAAACTTTCTCGAAAAGACACATTATTTTCCAACCTCTGTCTTAGCTCAAGCTACTGTTCCCTTAGGATGGAATACTAGTCTCACTTTTTGTCGTTTCCAAAGAACTGTTAGGCATTTTTCATATCATACTTCACATTATTTATATTTACATATAAATCTATCTCAATATTGAATTCTAAGGCCTCTGAGGACAGGACCATTAAGGTTTTTGGGGTGTTTTTTTTCTGTATTGGTTTCAGAGAGGAAGGGTGAAGGAGAGAGAGATAGAAATATCAATGATGAGAGAGAATCATTGATTGGCTGCCTCCTGCACACCCCCACTGGGGATTGAGCCCGCAACCCAGGCATGTGCCTTTGGCTAGAATCGAACCTGGGACCCTTCAGGCCGCAGGCCGACGCTCTATCCACTGAGCCGAGCCGGCTAGGGCAAGGACCATTAAGTTTGTCACTCAGTTTTAAAGTCTGCTAACGGAACTGATAAACATGTGGGGAAAACAAGCCATAAGAGATGGCAAGTATCATGGCAGAGACTGGTCAGACCTGAAAACAGAGATTGGATCAGACCATCTGGAACAGGGTCGCCAACCGATGATCCGCAGACCACTGGTGGTCAGTGAGGTCCAAAAAGGTTAGCAACCGCTGGTTTAAGAAAACCTTTGGAGCAGCGGTCGCCAACCTGTGGTCCGTGGACCACTGGTAGTCTGTGAGGTCTGAAAGGTTGGCAACCACTAATCTGTAGCAAAATCAGACCAGCTGAGCTACTGGCAGTGACTACAACTTTAACATCTTCTGAACAAGGTCGAATGCCCTAATGCCAACAATTATCACAGACATTGGCCTTTATTAAATACTAGAGACTGGCACATGAATTCCTGCATGGGTGGGATCCGGCTGGCCTGCCCCAATCGGGGAGATCAGGCGAGCTGGCCAGGGGAGGGGCTATGGGCACCCCTATCTCGGAAGAGGAGGGGGGAGGAGGGAGGTGGGGGGTGGAGCAGCTAAGTGTGGCTGGCTGGCCGCCCTGCCTGGTGGTTGAACTCCCAGTTGAGGGGATAATTTGGATATTAGCCTTTTTTATTATATAGAATTACATTTTACTGAAAGCATAAAGAAAAACAATAGGATGAAATTGAAAGATTGGAAGTTGGTAAGAAAAAAAACACACAGAAATATTATTTTCCATTTTAACATTCCTATTTGGTTAACTAACCAAAATTTAAATGATACAGGCTTGCTTTAGCTTTTTGCCAAAGATCAGTTCAATTGCATATATGGCTGTCATTAAAGGTACCATCTCAGTATGCCCACAGAATCCCATTCACCTACACAGCTTACCATGGCTCATCCTCTAAAAGGCACTAGGATTCCTGGCACTGGCAGAGAGACTCTCTCAGAAGGTATTTGACATGTTGATTATCTGACCAACTTTTGCAACTGAAGTTTCCCATGGCTGTGTCAAATGGTCAAATTGAATACTAGTGGTATCAGTGTGTCTTAAGATACCGAGGATGCCTTATAATTATAAAGCCCAGAATATGAAATCACTAAAAGTTGACCAGGTGAAAAGTCTCAAGTGCTTCCTTCTCTGTCAGAAATCTCCATACCCACTACTAAAACATAACTACATTGTCAACTTTTCCATGAACTGGCATGTACGAGAACAACTAGCCCACATGCCCTGCGCTGAATTTCATTTCATTCCAAATAGTTACAAAGAGAAAGAAAACTACAGACAATAACCTTAAGTAATTCACAAACTAGATTTCAGAACTGCCTTTGTCAGAACTAACTGTTCTCTTTATTTTGGCTTCTTACCTCAAAATCTATGTTCTATTCAATATACATCAGAATGTTGCCACATTTTACACACTACAGATTTATTCCAGAAGCTAGCAAGATATGGAAGGGAGAGCCATGTTGATCTTGTTATAAACTGTATATTTTCCCTTTTGGATAGAGTAAATACAGTGGTAGAGCAGAAATAACAAACGTAGGAATCGGAGAATCTGAGTTCAAGCCATAACTCTGTAAAATGAGGGAAGCTCCACCGAGAAAATAACAGCACCAAATTCACAGGGAACACTGCTGCACGGCTTCTATCAGTTCACATGTACAAAGGGATCAGAACACATGGTTAAGCCTTCAAACATCAGCTTTACTATTATTCTATTACAATACCTGACTCAAAGTGACAATTAATGATATTTGTGAAAACAAATTCTAACAAATCACAACTCAGGATCATATCTATTGCCAACCCTCATAACATCAATGATACTGCTCCAAAAAAGAAAGTAAAATAAGACAACCCTAATTCTGCTTCTCAGGAGATCCTGAAAAGTGTGGTGGCAAATACGTTTGAAAGCAGGGGTAGATTTAATTTAAACTTATGGCATGTATATCGCTTCAAATGTAAAGATAAAAAATAGAAACTGTATTATCAGCTGTACATCTCTAAATAACAGACCTGGGAACTACAGATCTGTTTAGCATTATAATACATTTGGGTACTTAGTTATATCATTTATATGGATTCCTCCTTCTCAACAGTATTATAATTCTTTTGTACCCCCACAGCAATGTTAAATAGCAGTCAAATAGATGAATTAAAGTAACATTTCGCGGAGAATTTAGCAAAGTATCTGCCTTGATCTTTTCATCAACACGAACACTCTAACTGTGGTGCACAGAAGTAATTCAGCCTGAAGGCTGGTTATGAGCGCAACTGGCGTCTGACACACCTGAGATCCAACGCTACCGCTGACTAGCTGTGGGAGCTTGGGAACCTAAAGCCTGTTTTCCATTCCATAAAACAGCGATAATTTTTACCTACCTCTTAAGATTATTTTGACAACTGAAAGAATATATACAAAGCACAACAATGCTAGTGCTGAAATATTTAGGAGGAAGTGTACTGATGCCTCCAATTTACATTGAAATGCATCAAAAAATGGATTCATAATGCCACTGAACTGTACACTAAAAAAAAATAGTTAAGATGACTAATTTTATGGTATGTGTATCTTACCACAACCTTTTTTAGTAAAAAAAAATTAAAATAAAATTGTAAAACACAGATTGAAAGATGGACAGACAGACATGTGATAAGGATAGTATAATATCAAATGTAGAATCTAAGCAGGGGTATATGAATGCTCATTTTCAACTTTTCTGTATATTTGAAGATTTTTACAATAAGCTATTAGGGAAAAACAATGCTGGCATGCTGTAGTTTGCTTTTATCATCATCTACTAGTCAGAAACAATAGCCAGTAAATATTCAGATAATTAGCTCCTTTTTTATGGCAGAATTTTAAAAAGCACCTTTGTGCCAGCCACCTATCCTTTTATTATAGCCATTCTGAAACTAAAAGTTTATTTGAAATTTCTTAGACAGTATATATGTGCGTGACTTCAAGTTAAATTATTCTAAGGTGCCAACTGCCAAGTGTTTAATCTTTCCTGAAGAAATACAGAAATCAAGTCAACAGACATCTGTGGTCGATGATTGATAATTCAACCAAACAAAACACTGGAAAAGCAGGATTGGAACTGTTTGTTCTTAACTTTTCCAGTAGCTGCTGCTAAAGCCAAAAAATTCCTTAACTAGAAGTACTATCAGCACTTTAACAGGTACCTAAAGTACAAATACATCAGCCACTTTAAAATGATATCCACTCTGCTCTGGCCAGTGTGGTTCAGTGGTTGGAGAGCATCATCTGGTACACCGAAAGGTGGAAGTTTCTGCTACCAGTCAGGGCACATATCCAGGTTTCGGGTTTCATCCCTGAGCGGGGCGTGTGCAGATGTTTCTCACATTGATGTTTCTCTCTCTTTCTCCCCCTTCCTCCCTTTAAAATCAAAAAATTTTTAAAAGACTAAAATGATACCCACTTCTTCTAATTTTGTTCCCCATTCCAACTAGTACTTCAGATTTTAACGTGTTTATTGGTACAATAGGAATAAATATCATGCAATATCAAAATTTTTAATGTCAGACCCCTCGTACCCATAAAAAATACAGAGACCTGCCCTGCTCGGTGGTTGATTGAGCACTGTCCCATGCACAGCAAGGTCTCTGATTTGTTTCCCAGTCAGGGCACATACCCAGGTTGCAGTTTCAATCCCGGGTAGGGTGCTTATGATAGGCAACCGATAGATGTTTCTCTCTCTCTCTCTCTCTCTCTCTCTCTCTCTAAAAATCAATAAAAAGACATATACTCAAGTGAGGATTTTTTTTAAAAAATACAGAAATAAAGTGTTGGTAAGGACATGGAAAAACTGGAACCGTTGTAAATTGATAATGGGAACACAAAATGGTATAGCCACTGTGGAAAACAGTATGATGGTTCCTCAAAAATTTAAAAATATGCCTGGCCAGCCACTGTGGCTCAGTGGTTGAGCATCAACCTATGAACCAGGATGAACCAGGAGGTTACCGTTGACTCCAGGTCAGGGCACATGCCCAGGTTTCGGGTTCATTCCCCAATGTGGGGCCTGCAGGAGGCAGCCGATCAATGATTCTCTCTCATCATTGCTGTTTCTCTCTCTCTCTCTCTCTTCCTCTGCCTCTCTCTCTCTCTCTCTCTCTTTCTCTCTCTCTCTCTCTTTCTCTCTGAAATAAAAAATATATGTATTTTTTAAAATAGAATTACCATATGATCCAACAACCCCACTTTGGGGTAAATACCCAAAAGAATTGAAAACAGGATTTCAGAGTTATTTGTATACCTATGTTCATAGCAGCATTATTCATTAAACATACAAGCAACCCAAGTTTCCACTGACATGAAATGGATGAGAAAATGTGACGTATACATACAGTGGAATATCATTCAGCCTTAAAAGGGAAGAAAATTCTGTCATATGCCATCACATGGATGAACCTTGAGGACTTTATGCTAAGTGAAATAAGCAAGTCACAGAAAGGCAAATCCTGTCTGACTCCACTTACATGAGATACATAGGGTAGTCAAAATCAGAGACAAAAAGTAGAATGGTGGTTGCCAGGGGCTGAGAGGAATTAGGCCCTAATGTGCAGCCAAGTGGTTCTCAACCTTGGCTGCACATTAGAATCACCTGGGAATCTTGTTAAAATCCTGATTTCTGGGCCTCATTCTCCGGAAATTATTTTTGTTACTAATGATGAGGCCCAGAAATCAGGATTTTAACAAGATTCCCAGGTGATTCTAATGTGCAGCCAAGGTTGAGAACCACTGAGTTAGGGTCTAATATGTATATGGAATTTCAGTTTTGCAAGATAAAGAGAGTTCTGAAGAGTCTGGTGATGTTTGCAGAACAACATGAATGTACTTAATATTACTGAATTGTATACTTAATGGTTATGATGGTAAATTCTGTTATGTGTATTTTACCACAATAACAAAAAATGGAAGAAAAAAAATCAGGGAACTAATCTCCCCAGAAGGCCTGGAGGCGCTCCAGCTCGGAACTGACAGACAAGCAAGCAACTCAGTGGCTCTCAGCCCCTGGTCTACCTCTAAGCATGAGACCTTGTCCCCTCAGCCTCTCCGTCCTGCCCAGGGTCACACCGACCGTTTATCTCAGCTTCAAAATGAGCAAACCCTACTCCTTGCTACACCAGTTCTGTGTTAAAACACCAAGGAACGTAACCCCTCTAAACCTGCCTCCTCTTTAAAATAAGGATAGTTCCTACCTCCCTGCTTCAATCAGCTTGTTCTGAGAGCAAAAATGAGATCATGCACATAAAAGTACCTTTACCCTGCCAGGCACCAAAGAAACAGAAACTATGTTTACCACGACTTTCACGTGGAAAATCCAGAAGGGGCTAAAACAGCAGGAACTTCGCAAAGCTGGGGACACCATCCCCCCCGGGCTTCATTCCAGGTAACACTCACAGGCATCCCCCTACATAACACCTCATTTTTGTCATTCACTGAAGGGCGGCACTGAGGAGGCAAACAAACCCAAAGCACTCATCTCACCACCCCCGACGCCGTCAGAAATGATCTGACACGTCCTAGACACCGTCCATGTGAATGCCCCCCGCGTGGGCCTGCACGGCCCGGGACTACACTTCCCACAAGGCATCGGGGCGAGCCCGGGCGGCGGGCGTGGCGGCCTGGGGTTCAGGGTGACCACCGCTCTCCGGAACCGCGACCGCCGTCCCCTGGAAAAGGCAACGTTTAAGGTCGCGTGTGCACTGGCGCTCCCCTCTGCAGGCGCTGTCACCCCGCCGTCTCTCGGGCGGCCGGCGCCGCCGCCCTCGCCGCTCTCCCGTCCTTCCTGCTCCGCCTGAGGGTCACCGCCGGCCCCGGGCCTCTCCGCGGGTTCCCGGGGTTTCACAGAAAGGCATCTTCTCCCCCATCTGAAAGCGCGATGGCTACGACTCGCTCCACAGTTGGGGTCGGGGAGCGGGGCACAGCGGGGTCAGACGGGACGGGCGGACGCCACCCGTCACCCCGGGGCTCGGGCCGGTCCGCCGGCCCAGGTGACCGCGGGCAGGGGGCTGGCTCCCCCACCCCCCGAGCCGGGGCGGATCGCGGGCAGAGGTGGCTCCGCCTGGGGCTCCGGTTTCAATTTCGCAACGTGACGGTGCAAACCTGAGGCCTACAAACGCCGGCGGCCGCGTCCGGCGCCCCGCCCGCCCGCCCAGGCCCGGGCACCCCAGCCCCCTGCCCGCCGATCCGCCCGCCCGCCCAGGCCCGGGCACCCCAGCCCCCTGCCCGCCGATCCGTCCGCCTGCCCACCGGCCCGAGCCCCAGCCCTCGCCCGCCCGGCCTCCGGCCTCCGGCCCCGCGCGGCCCCGGCCCCGGCCCCGGCTCGCGGCCGCAGGCTCGCCGTGGCACTTACTCAGCTCGTCCTGGGAGGCGGAGGCGGCGGCCGCAGCCATGTTGCGCCGCGGCGGGAGGGAGGGGCCGGAGGGGGAGCGCGCGGCCCGGCGGCGCGGGGGGCTCGCGGCTCGCGGGGCGGCAGCGACCCGGAGCCGCCTCAGGTCGCTCGGTGCGGGCCGCGCGGCGCCCACGAGGCCCGCCCGCCGCCTGCGCCCTCCTCCTGCCCGCGCGCGGCGCTCTCGCCGTCCCCCGCGAGGTCGCGACTCGGGCGCTCTCGCCGCCTCGCGCCCCTGCGGAGCCGCCGCCGTCCGTCGGCCGAGTCCGGTGCGCCCGGCCCGCGCGGCGGCTCGGAGGCTCGCGCCGCGCTCGCCCAACTCACGCCGGTTTTATATTTAGAAAGAGCTGAGCCATCCTCCCAGCGGCCCCCCCGCCGGGCCCGCCGCGCGCCGCCCGCCCTCGCTCGCTCGCTCGCGGCTCGTCCTGCCCACCTGCCGCCGCCCGCCCCGCGCGCCGGAGCCGGCCCGGGAGCGCTCCCCGCGCGGACCCGGCACGCGGCGGCCTGCACGGCGGCCTGTCCCCGCCGCCCCGCGCAGCGTGCAGCGGGGCCGGCCGCGCGGGCCTCTGACCTGAGTCCGAGCCGGTCTCCATGCCGGGGATGCGGCGCTCGGCCCCCGGAGCGAGGCGTTCGGCGGGCTCGGCCCGAGGACCGCTCGCTGCCCACCCGCGAGGGGCTCCTCCGAGCGCGGGCCCGGGACTCGGGCGGGGGCAGCTCCTCGCCGCGGGGCCGAAGCTGCCTTCCGAGAGCGCGGCGGCTGTCACGTTGCCGGCCCCGACCCGGAGAAACACGCCTGTCCGAGCAAGAGACGTGGACGGACTCGGGCAAGGGGAGCCGGGCTCGGAGTCGGCGGGAGGAAGCCCCGCCCTGCGCCTCCCGCCGAACTTCTCGGCCCCGGCGCCGGGCGCTGACTCAGTCCCGAGCGAGCCCGGCGCCGCCAGCCGCCCCGGACCGGGCGCCCCGGGCCCCTTTCCCCCCTTGGGCGCGATCAGGTGTAGGTTTCGGGTGCTCTTGGGAGCGAGGGCTACCGAGAGAAGGGAAATCACTGAGCCCTACTGAGAGCTCAGTGAACCGATTTTTTAAAGTTCAAATTCAAGCGTATAGATGTCTCTATGAGCTGCGTTTTAAAATGTGTTTATTGTCATACCTACGTTCCTTTTGGTGACCCGAGTGGTTTACTTTTGATCTACCGATTTTCACTGTATCCCTTCAGTTTATCTGTGAGGTCATGTACTTGGGGGGAAAAAAAAAACAAGAAAAAAAAACGCTTGCAAAATGGAATTCAAATTAAGGGGTTGCATAATTGCAGTGCTTTTAAGTGATGGTACTGTCGTAACAAATTAGGTACAAGATCAGATACATTTTTTTAATAAGAGTGAGAAATCAAGATTGTAAATGGGGTAACATTGCATTTGTTCCTAAGGGTGGACAACCATAAAGCCCTAGTGAACGTCCAGAAAGTTGGAATATCATAAAAAAACGTGAAAGCCCTTTCCCTCACCCCACTTCGCAGAGAAAACTATAGTGAGCAGGTGCAGTTGAGTGCACTGCCTGCAAGGGCTTGTCTCTGCACACAGGTATGTGCAGCCCCAAATACGCCTTGGGTGGGGAGGGGATTCACAATCGCTATAAAGTTCTGCATCAATATTTCCCCCATACACATTCTTCCATGTTAATGCAAAGAGCTGTGCACCACCACACTTCGTGTTCATGACTTCATAGTACATTAAATTAACCAGTTCCTCCTTTTTTTGTTTGTTTGTTTTTGAGGATATTTTGGCGCTTTCGTTTGTTGACAGTCAATACACAATGAACTATTTTCAAAGAATACAATATTGAAGTGTATAAAGTAAAAGGTTGTCCCCTACCTCCCTGCCCACCATCCCCTCATCCCTAGAAATAATTCCTATTAAAAGTGGTATACACAACCTTTTCTGACCATTTCTATGAATATATAAAGTGGCTGCACCAAGTACTGGTTGGGGGAGACTTTGACTTTCCATAACCTCCAATAGATCCTTCTAAAGTCATTAAAAAAAAAAAGAAGTAGAGAAACTATGTTTTAAAAAAAAAGTTAGGCAAGTTTACTTCCAGACAAAACCAGCTAGCAACTCATAAGTTCCTCCTACATAGAAATTCCAGAGACCATGTGCGGGCAAATTATATACGTGTGTACACAGATTTTTGTTTTGACAAAAATGAAATCACACTATACATATCATGAAACTTTATCTTTTCACCAAACGATATATCACAGTTGTCCTTTCCTATCAGTAGTGGTAACAGTAGCTAACACTACTGTGGCAGGCGCTGTTTAAAGTGTTTTACTTGGGTGAATTCATTTAATCTTCATAACAATCTTAGGAAGTAGGGATTTTTATGACACAGCTGGTCGAAGAACATATCGAAAGCGCCACACCTGGATGCCCGGCTGGTGTGGCTCAATGGTTGAGTGTCAACCTATGAACCAGGAGGTCACAGTTCATTTAGATTCCCAGTCAAGCCTGTGTTCCCAGGTTGCCTGCTCAGTCCTCAGTAAGGGGCCTGCAGGAGGCAGCCAATTAATGAGTCTCACCATTAATGTTTCTATCTCTCTTCTCTGAAATCAGTTTTAAAAAAAAAAAAAGTGCCACAACTGGAAAGTGGTGGAGAGAGTATTTGAACCCTGGCAGTGTGGATCCAGAGTCCACTCTTAATCACTATGATCTGTATGTCAGAGCCACCTCCTTCTTTTAAATGGCTGCATAATAAATACATGACCTAATTTATTTTATTGTTCCCCTACAAATGAGTATTTAGGTTGTCTACAATTTTTTACTATTGCAAGCAAGGCTACTGTAAAACTTTCTTATACATATATCTTTATGAAGTCATACATTTCTATGTGTATATGTGAAATTGTCAGGCAAAAACAACTTATTATATATCATAGTTAATAGCAGCTTACAATGGTGGTTACAATTCTAGTGGCTTTACTATATTTCTAGTTTTTTTTAATAGTTGCTTCTCCCTTCAAACTATAGTTTATTTTTCCCATTACATAGCTTCATCTTTATTTTTATTGATTTTAGAGAAGAAGGGAGAGGGAGAGAGAGATAGAAACATCAGTGATGAGAGAGAATCATTGATCAGCTGCCCCCTACACGCCCCACACTGGGGATTGAGGCCACAACCCAGGATTTGCCCTGACTGGGAATCAAACCATGACCTCCTGGTTCATAGGTCGATAGTCAACCACTGAGCCACACCAGCTGGGCATAGCTTCATCTTCTTACTACATACACACTTTTGTTTTGAGTAGTGGCCTTGAGATCCTTCCTATCTAGAATTTACTTCAACTTTCAAAAACAGACAAGAAGGCATTGGAGGAAGAGAGGGAATGAACAGGGGATAGAGAAGAGACCATTGAGAAACCAAAATAAGATATCACAAAATCAAAGAACTAAAAATGTGCCTTTTACTCCTTAAAAGTCCCCTTCCCCCTTTTGTAGGCCCTCATCACACTTAATGTGTCCACAGTTCTAATAAGATAAATAATCTTTCCATAGTCTAAGGAGATTAGAAGCAGAATATCAAAGAGTGCTCTTCTGGGCAGGTACCATTGGATGACAGAAGTGCTAACAGACACCCTAAGAAATAAGAAACAGGAAAACTATGAAAAGAAACTATACGAATTCAAAAAGCAAAGCATGTTGGGGTTATTTATATAGTACAAAAAGCACTGTCCACCCCATAGGCCCTGAAATTATTTCACTTGAATAATTGATGTCCATGGCTTTAGTCGTGACATCAAGAAATAGTAAAATTATGTTAGTATATCAGCATCAGAAAACAAAGGAGTATGAAGTATATTTTACCAAGCTTTTCATCTAAAATGGTTATAATAAACAATTCTATCTAGAAAATCCAGCTATCCCAAATGATTCAATTATCCATTCCCAAAAAGTTCCAAACAAGCCAAAATTCTATATAAATAAGCCTCATGTGGTATTTATATTGGTTGCTGAAAGGGTTAGAGACTGGGTCCAGTCTACCAACAGAGCTCACAACAATAATGGTTCATCTTTGCTCTTTTCAGTCAGTTATTGATTAAAGAGTATATCACTGCACATCTATATATATATAAAAGCCTAAGTGACGATCCAACCTGTAGCTATGATGCACAATGACCTCCAGGGGGCAGACGCTCAACACAGGAGCTACCAAGCTGCGGTGACTTGGCAGCTGTGGTGACTTGGAAGCTGCAGTTCTCTGTGATGCACCAGGAACCAGAAAGGAGGGAGCCCGATTCTGGGGTGCATCACCTGAGAACCTTCCTCTCACAATTTGGGATCCTGATTCCGCATGGGCCAAGCCAAGGGACCCCACCAGTACACCAATCTGTGCACTGGGCCTCTAGTAAAATCATATTATGACTCAAAACATTCTAAAAATCAGACTCAGAAACATCAGTCTCTGATCACAATATATAGAATCCTTCCATTGTACCCTCATTCTTGTGGATTTAGAGTACATTTTAGATCATCAACCATTTGACTGCTTCCTGGTCTGTGTGTCCTCTTCTGATACCACTTACTCCATTTTTAGCCAAAATCCCAAAGATGGCAATGAATTAAAAAAAATAATAAAAATTTTTAAAAAATTATATATATAATTGATTTCAGAGAGGAAGGAAGAGGGAGAGAGAGATAGAAACATCAATGATGAGAGAGAATCATTGATAGGCTGCCTCCTGCGTGACCCCTACTGGAGATCGAGCCCACAACCCGGAAATGTGCTCTTGGCCAGAATCAAACCCGGACCCTTCAGTCTGCAGGCCAATGCTCCATCCACTGAGCCAAACTGGCCAGGGCGGCAATGAATTCTTACTGGCACCTTCTTTCCTTGGGTTCTCACAGACAGTGCCAATCAATTCCCAACCTTAGGCGAACCTCACTATTCACTTTATTTTTCACTCCCAAATATCACTGGAAAAAAACAAAAAGCTGACCTGGTACAATATATTACTCCACCTTACATTTCAGAGGATGAGGCAATCTTTCCATCCCCCATAATAATTTTATACCAATGCAATATAGTTTTAACCTTGAAAGTCTTACCTTTTACTTTATTCTTTTCTTCAAAATATATGTATAAGAATATTTATAAATTTTTGCATGGTTCTTTTAAAATTATGATTGAGTAATCATAATTAAAAATACACAATTTATCAAAACAACATAAATATATTACAACTTCTTTGAAGGCTTCAACTACTAATGATTAGCATATTTTTATGTTACAATTTTTGAGAGGTATTAACATAAAAAGTAAAATTTTATTGGCAATGTATCTCCTTAATGAAAAGG